TCTCTCTCTCTCTCTCTCTCTCTCTCTCTCTCTCTCTCTCTCTCTCTCTCTCTTCACTTTCTAGCGTCCGAGACAGAGTAGTTCTTGATAGAGAGGACACCACGTATGGGACGTATACGATGGTGCCATAAGGAATATATCTTCCTCGTCGTGAAAAGTACGAAAAGGAAGCCCATCCAAAAGACCTGTACATAATGTTGCTGGATGTAGACTAGAGGGTGGTTAAGCCTGTACATAATGTTGCTGGAGCTAGACTAGAGGGCGGTAAGGAGTTTATATGTGACGATGCCTTCCGTTCTGTATAACCCACTCTGTGTTCGAGAAAATGCAGTCAAGGAAAACCACAAACCATAAGTACCTTATAAAGCTGAACTATGCCACTACGATTGTCACCGGTCACGGCGGCCTTCGGCATTGGCAGATGGATGGATGATGTGTATCCATTCCTTCCGGGGAATTCACCGTTACCGTCCTTGGAAATCACTGTCATTCTCTAGCTGGGTCAGTCTTTCGATTACGACACTCATCCGCGGTCGCAGCTCTGGACTGTCCGCGATGCAGGCCATGGCAACCTCCGCCATGCTGCAAACAGCACACCAGTCCACATTGCTGCCTTCTCATGGAACTCCGGGTCTGCAATCTGCTGAATACGTTCCTTGAACGTCTCCCTGCTAGTTATCCTTGTTGTGAGCGCTGGTATGACTGATCTTCCTGGCATGTCTGAACGTATCCAGTAGGCAACAGGGGGTGCCGACCCTCCGAGCATTCTGGACACCCAGGAGGTAAGAGTCAGTGATCCGATTTCATTGTCCTCCTCCTTTTTCCTCCCCTCGTGTACCCCCATCGCCTTCCTACCCTCACCGTCAGCAGTTAATGACCCGCCAAATGGTTTTCTACCGGTTATGAGCTCCAAGAGGACGACCCCGAAAGCATACACATCATTCTTGGTCGTAAGGCGGCATGAGGTGTAGTACTCGGGTGCTATGTACCCGAATGTTCCTGCCACGTGATACGTGTCCACAGTCGAGCCTGACCACAACCGACCCCCAAAGATGCTCTGTCCCAGCTTCGCCAGTCCGAAGTCTGATAGAAAAGCCCTAACTGTCCGTTGCCGACATATTCCCTGCTCTCCTCCCCTTTCCCTCCCTGCTCCCCCTTCGCATGTAGATCGATCCTCCAGCAGCACGTTTTTGCTCTTGACGTCCCTGTGGATGACCGGTGGGTCTACTTCTTCGTGTAGATAGCGCAGTGCTCGGCCGATCTGCTGGGCAATAGAGACTCTCTCGGGCCAGCTCAGCGCTGCCGGCCTCCTCATACCGCTGGAGGCGGAGTTGCTGCTGCCCAGCCCGACGCGGTTCCATGCCGGATGCTCAACTCGGTTTTCATCCTCCTTAGAGTCTTCATCCTTGCTGAGCTGGTGCTCAGGGGCATTGTCCGTGGAGGCAATCCGTGCGCAGTGCAACCGATCGTGCAGCGTCCCTCCCTCCGCGAATGGGGAGTAGATGATGAACGACTTCCCTCCCTCCGCACAGTATCCGATGATGCTGCACTGGTGGCTGTGACGAAGTGTGCCCAGCACATCCAGCTCCGCTTGGAACTGGCGGAACTTTGTCTCTGAGAACTCCCCCTTCATCATCTTAACGGCCACGGCTTGCCCGTTGCTTAGCTGTCCCTTGTACACCTTAGCAGCTGCCCCCTGCCCCACCAACCGTGCAGAGCTTAAGCCATCACAAGCTTCTCGGATCTCCTGGAACGAGTACTGTTTCACTGGAGCAGCTGGTCTCAACTGAGCCTCAAGCCCATCACGTGTTGTCGAGCACACACGCTGCTGGCCTTTCTGATCACTGCCCTTGCGGGATGACCACGGCCAAGGACACGCAGGGTCATTTACCAATCCTAGGCTCCTTCCCTGACTTTCACATTGCAAGAACCAGGATTGCAAGCAGTGGCGCCTGCTCTCGACGATGGCAGCAGAGAAAGCAAGAATGACCAGGACTACCGCCGAAGTCCCAATGAAGACGCCCATTGAAGGAAGGGCTGAAGGACGGGCCGGAGGAGAAGGAGAAGGAGAAGGAGAAGGAGAAGATGAAGTTGAAGGTGAAGGAGCAGCTGAAGGAGAAACTGAACGAGGAGGCGAAGGACTATAAGAGTTACCTGGGTAGGGCCCCCCCCAAGGGGGCAGGGCGGATTTATTGATTGCAAGCTCCCAAATCTGGTAGTCAACTCTTCCTACATAAAGCATTGTGTCGTCCTGCGTCAGGGCCAGAGATCTCATGACCGTTACGCTTCTCCCATCTGGACGACGTGCAATGGCCACAGTTCGGACGGAGACCACAGGACCACCACTGTAAGCCAACGAGACAAGGATCAGTCGTCCGCCAATCTCTGAGACAAATAAATGGCATCCGTCCGATGTTAAAGCGAGCCCCACGGGCTCAATAAACTCCGCACCCTCGGGCGAACCTGTTTTGGCAAGTACCTCCAGGGCTCCGGAGGACGTCTTCAACCTCCCTATCGCCGAAATCCTGGCAAATGCCACGTACAAGAGCTTACCATCAGCAGATATGGCGAACGAGCTGAGGAAGGGTTCTGGGACCCTCATGGCCCTTGGAATACTGCTGCCATCCTGAAGACCAACTGAACTCAGATCAGGACCTACCCACCTCTCCAGCACGGCGTTCCTGCCATCGCTGACTGAAAGGTTCATTCGGTATATCACAGTGGGTGTCGATGCGTACAAGATCCTATGGTTCGAGTCCCAAGCCAGACTGAGCAATCGCGAATCGCCAGGAGCATCCGGCATGTAACGCACAATAGAGAATGGAGGAGGAATCGAACCGTGGTCTACGTTGTACGCATGGAGAGAGGTGTTGAAGGGCTCTGCAACTACCGCAACTCTGTTCAAAGACGTACTACTCCCCGATTTCCTTTGGTCGTCCAGCATGGTGAAGGCTTGCAGGAAACTGCCTCCGAAGCCCGCATTATTGAGCCAGTGGCCCTCTGCTAGCGAAGCAGTACCACTGTTAAGGTCAACCTTCCATAACCCATAGTTCAAGAGGGAAAACAATGACCAGTCTGCAGGTGAGAATGATAGGGCCCACACCTCGGAGCTACTCTCATAGGAACCATACAAGCGTCCATCTCTAGCGATAACGTTTTCCAAGTTGATCGAATTTCCTCGAGGCATGCTCAATAGATTCTCATCAAGGATTTCACGTGCCAACTCCTCCGGCCAGGGATAAGGTTGAGAGGCTTGATGACTTGGAACAGCTTTATCATCGGTCACGAGTTGCCGCTGCGACTCCTGCCATGTCTTCTCATTGTGATGAAGATGATGACGATGATGCTGAAGACCAGAAAGATGAAGATGGTGATCCAGATGCTGCTCCTTATCTGACGGATTGTGTGGAGAGTAAGGATGCAGATGATCATCATCTTTCCTAATTGTGGATGAGAAGATGTGAGTCATGGGAGTGCCACTGCCCCTACCTTCCTCCGATGCCGAGGAAGAAGAGGATGAATGCTGATAAGAGGAAGACATCGTTGTGCGGGGGGAGGAGGAGGAGGAGGAGGAGGGAGCGGCAAGGACTGTGGCGAAGACCCACTTCAAGTTGGTGTCGTCCACGTGGCATGGGGTCAATAACATTACAGCGAGCAATACCTGTGAAATACCGAATTCTCTGCATTCACCGTGGCTTGCTACCGTCCTCCTCCTCCTCCCCCTCTGTGCCCTGATCATCATAATAATCATCATCGCCAACGTCTCTATCATCATCGTCATCGTCATAGTCGCCGTGGTTTCCTTGTGAGTACCTAACAGATTCGGCCCTTCTTGCCAAACGGGCGACGTCTGGGTGAGAAAAACCAAAAAGGTTTTCTCGTGGGCCCTATCTACGAATGTATATCCCGTGATGTATGGAATTAAATCACTCTGCATCTACGAATGTATATCCCGTGATGTATGGAATTAAATCACTCTGCATTACCTAGGGCGGGTCACCTACATGAAGACATCTCGAGGCATAAAGGAGAAGGTAAAAAACTCAGAGATGTGCATAGAATATGGGCCGGACTAAAAACTGATATTAAGGGGGGAAAAAAACAAAAACAAACAACTAAGACTTGCTGGAGCCATCACAAATTCCAAAGGCTTAATTCCAAAGGCCGAATGGTCTTCGGTGTTGAAATCTTTTGGTCTTTTCTGAAAACTTGAAACAGAACCAAAAAAAAAAGGAAAAACAAGGAAATGTTAGCTGCTCACCGCTACTTCACAGTCCACCCCGTGGGTTTGTTTTTTCCACCTGCACATCGGAGCACAGCAACTCGTGTCACAATGGATGAATTTGATGACAGATTCTCTCTCTCTCTCTCTCTCTCTCTCTCTCTCTCTCTCTCTCTCTCTCTCTCTCTCTCTCTCTCTCTCTCTCTCTCTCTCTTTTTAAATCCGAGAGGAAGACAACGTCAGAATAATCACTCACGAGTCGCATGAATATGTTGTCGTAATGAAAAAACAAGGTAACTACTCATGCATGTGCTGTAGTCGCGACTCGTCAGAACACGCACAAAGATAGATACGGACGATGCTGGCTGCCTTCTTGTCGATGATTAAAAACAAAAAAAGGGCTAATTGCAAAAATATTGCTCATTCCAAGTTTGGCAGCAAAAGGGGCTCGCCACACAGCCTTTCGAAACATGGAAAATCCACACCGCGTCTTCGCCACACAGGTACTCAGGGATGTTGGGCCTGAGTACCTGAGGCCACAACTGCTTTCAACAAAGTTTTGAAACATGTCAGGGAGCTGGGCCTCGAAAGGCCTTTGGAATGGGCAACCTCTTCCCGCCTGTCAC